GACACCACGAGACACCATGGGACATTTGTCGGTCTCACTATCGATCTCACTATCGATCGCACTCAACGGGACACCATAGGACACCACGGGACACCACGGGACACCGAAGGGACACCGATGGGACACCGACGGGACCTAATCGATCTCGCTTTCGTTCTCACTATTCATCTCACTATCGGTCCCACTATCGATCTCGCTATCGATCTCACTATCGATCTCGCTTTCGATCTCACTGTTCATCTCACTATCGATCTCACTATCGATTCCACTGTCGATTTCGCTATCGATCCCACTCGATCGATCTCACTATCGATATCACGATCGATCTCACTATAGATATCACGATCGATCTCACTATAGATCTCACGATCGATCTCTCACTATAGATCTCACTATCGATCTCACAATCGGTCTCATTTTCGATTTCACTATCGATCTCACTATCGATCTCACTGTCGATCTCACCACGGGACACTATGGGACAACGACGGGACACGGGCAGGACACCAGCGGGACACCAGCGGGACACCGGCGGGACACCGCGCACCACCTGTTGCCGGGTAGAGAATCTTTTGGTCCGGCCGCGGCCCAGCCACGACGGGACACCAGCGGGACACCAGCGGGACACCAGTGGGACACCGGCGGGACACCGGCGGGACACTGGTTGCCGGGCGGAGAATTTTTTTGTCCAGCCGCGGCCCAGCCACAGGAGAATTTCCATTCCCCCGCCCATGCAGCTTCGCCTCGCCCGCACGCACGGCACGAACACGAAACCGAAATCGATTTCCCAGTAGGGGGGCTCTCCGTTCCACTTCGATCTCACCCCCCAATTTCCGATACACACACATATGTGTGTATGTGTATATATATATATATATATATATATATATATATATATATGTATGTGTATATATATATATATATATATATAGATGTGTATATTATCATACCTACTGGTGTGATCTCGCACTGCATTATTTCGCTCGACCGACCGTGCGTGTGATGTGCACTGGACTGGAATGTGTGCTGGGACGTGTGCTGCCTTCGTGTGCTGGAATATGGGCAGGGCTGTGTGCTGCCTCCGCGTGCTGGGATACGTGCTGGGATGTGCGCTGCCTTCGTGCGCTGGGATACGTGTTGGGGTGTGGCTTGGGTGCACTGTGGTCTCTGGGCCAAGATGTGCGTTGGGATGCGTGCCGCCCCCGTGTGCTGGGATGCGTGCTGGGATACGTGCTGGGTGTGCCGGGGTCCACCGTGCCCCCTCGTTCACCCCCTCCTCCCTTCCGATTGACCAACCGTGCGCCACCACCCGCCCTCTCTCCGCCCCGTGGTCCCCGTCTGCTTATTCCGACCGACCGACCGTGGCCCTCCCTCTGCCCGGCCCCCCCGGCACCTCTCCGCCCCGTGGCCCCCGGGCCCCCGTCTGCTTCTCCCGACCGACCGACCGTGCTCCCCCCCTGCCCGACCGTGCCGTGCGCCTCCCCGCCCTCTCCGCCCCGTGGCCCCCGTCTGGTTATCCGTAAGGGCTTCGCCCTCTGTCGCTGGCCCCCTCCCTCGGAGAATGGGCAATGCAAGAGCGAAATCATGAGGCCTTGGCGCCGCCGTGAAGCAGCGTCGGGGCTTCACGCGAAGACGATGAGTAGCCGGCAAGACAAATTGAGATTCTGATGATATTGTTGCATTCGGTGTTGCATTCCGAGATTGCTCGCGTACGCTGACACAGCTTTTCTACGAAGTATTGAAATGTTGCAGATCCCATGTGTTTTTGACCCTGACCCCGGCGATCTGCGTGAGGGGTGCCACCGAATTTCAAGAAATGTGGCAACTCCCATGGGTTTGTCGGCTCTGACTCCGCCGATCTGCGTGAGAGGTCCCTCCGATTTTTTTGGTTTGTTTTTTCTTCAAATCTGATGGTTTTTTCGACCCTGACTCCGCCGATCTGCGTGAGGGGGGTCACAGAATTTCAAAACATGTGGCAAATCCCACGTGTTTTTGGACCCTGACCCCGCCGATCTGCGTGAGGGGTGCCGCCGAATTTCAGAAATTTAGCAAATCCCGTTGGTTTTTCGACCCTGACTCCGCCGATCTGCGTGAGGGGTGCCACCGAATTTCAGAAATGTGGCAAATCCCATTTGTTTTTGGACCCTGACCCCGCCGATCTGTTTGAGGGGTGTCAATTTCGACCTCCCCAGTAATTCTGATAACCCTCTCAGGAGACGCTAGATTTGCTGGTTTTCGGCTCCCACCCCCTCGCGCAGTCTACAACAAGGAACAGTAAGCAGCATAAAACAATCTTGTAACAGTGGAAACTGGAAACTAGAACTGGTGCAGCGAACAACAAACCCTAGTCCTACAGCCTGTTGGCCCCTCAAGGGGGCCTGCGGATATCTGACATATATATATATATATATATACACATATGGCCAGCGTGGACTTCGACTTTTCTGTTCTTTGCGATATATGCAGTACAATCTAGGTGGTGCAAGCAGTGGTGTGTAATCTAGGTTGTACACTCTGTAGCGCAACGCAATACAAAGCACTTCAACGCAATGCAATGCAGCGCAAGCCACTGAAACACAAATGCAATGCAATGCAATGCAATGCAATGCAATGCAATGCAATGCAATGCAATGCAATGCAATGCAATGCAATGCAATGCAATGCAATGCAATGCGAATGCAATGCGAATGTAATGCGAATGCAATGCGAATGCAATGCAATGCGAATGCAATGCAATGCGAATGCGAATGCGAATGCGAATGCGAATGCGAATGCGAATGCGAATGCGAATGCGAATGCGAATGCGAATGCGAATGCGAATGCAATGCAATACAATGCAATGCAATGCAATGCGCTGCCATTGGTGGCCTTCGGCCCATCCCGCAACCGTGTCTGGGTTGTAGGTCAGAGGATGCCCGTGTGGATCTCTGGGGGCCTTTCGGGAGCCTCTTGGACTGGGTTTTGTGATGTCTTGGGGGCCTCTCGGGGGTCTCTTGGGAGCCTCTTGGGGCCTGACTTGGGCGTATTGGAGGCCTCCTGGAGCTTGTGGGGGCCTCTTGGGGGCCTGCTGGCGGTCTCAGGGGCCACCTTGGGGCGAAGGGCTCGACATGTCGGTTCGGGTTCCCCTCTGGGGCCTCTCTTGGGCTCCTCTCTGACGGCCCCATTGGGCCGTCTTCTCTTGGGACATCTTGGGGCCATCTTTTGCCGCCTGAGGGCGCTCTTGGGGGCCCCTTGGGCCGACTTGTTGCGATCTTGGGGGGCTCTTGGGCCGTCTTGGAGCGTGGACAGCCGGGAAACGCAAGAACACTGCCATCCTTCAACAACCTAGGGAAAGTCAATGCTTTTGGCATCTCGGGGGCATCTCGGGACCCTCTTTTGGGGCCTCTTGGAACCCTCTTGGGTCGTCTGGGGGACCTCTTGGATTGTCTGTGAGCCATCTTGGGCGTCTTGGAGCGATCCTTTGGCCGTCCTGGAGGCCTCGGGGGCCCTCTTGGGCGCCTCTTGGAGCCCTCTTGGCCCGTCTTGGCGCCCAATGGCCTCCGGAACAATCACGCGACCAACTCCAGGAGCGCTCATGAGCGCCCAGTGCGTCTGGGAATTTGGGTGGTGACCGCTAGAAAGTCATTTGCGGTATTCTATATTGAGAACCCGACGGGGCCTGAGGACACTCGAATTGGTGCCTCAGGGCACGGGGTCCTGGCATACATACGGTCGTGCATACATGCGTAACCTTTTGTGAGTACATATACATTTAGACACATTATAGATAGTATAGATATTCGCATATACATATATACGTGCATATTCATGTATACATGTACATGCTCTTGTAGATTGTTCTAATGGTTACATGCTACCTGTAACCAATGGGAGACACATGCGTATGTATACTGAGAGAGGGAGAGAGATAGCGAGATAGTTAGAGAGAAAAACATCTATATACACATATAACTATATATATGTGCACATATATATATATATATATATATATATATATATATATATAGGGATATAGCGGTACATACATAGGTGTGTGTATACACGTAGAAGGAGAGAAATATAGAGAGAGAGAGAGAGAGAGAGAGAGCGAGAGAAAGAGAGAGAGAGAGAGAAAGAGAGAGAGAGGGAGAGAGTTTCGCTCCCTGGCAAATGATGCACCTCCCCGGGAGCGTGTGCGTCCGCCTCCCGTTCTCGCCGTGAGCACGGCCTGGGCGGGACGGGAGCCTCGGGCCTGCGCGCCCGCGGTGCAGGGGCACGGCGGAGTGGACGGAGAGGAGGAAGGACATGACATAACATGATATTTGGGTGGGCGGAGAGGGGAAAGAAAGAGAGAGAGATAGAGGGACAGAGAGGGAGAGTGGCGGACGCTCATAAGCGTCCGGAATGCCATGGGCGTGGCGCGCGCTCTGCTGGACGCGGTGCCCGCGCACAGCTGGCCCTGTGGCGCTACCCGGTGCAGGGTGGCGCGTGGCGGTGGCGGCGGCGGGTAGCCCGCTTCTTTCTCCTGTGCCTTGAGGGATTTGAGATTGGACTGGTGCGAGAGAGAAAGAGAGAGAGGGGGGGGAGACCCAAATTAGCATCTCGAAACATCGTTTGCATCTTACTCGTCTGGCCATCGTTGCGATCACAATTAGCCCCAAGTCGTCCGCCGCGCAACTGGTCCTCTGACACCCTGGAAGGTTTAGCACCGACGTGTGGACACCTGCTCTATCTGCCGCACCTTGGATCAAGTACGCTTTATGGACATTGGCCCGGTTGAGGGTGTAGTAGGCCTTCGCTGTCGCAGTGATACCTATATCTGAATCGGGGTTCGCGACCTGCACCACTACGCCAAGCCCGATTCAAGCCGCCAGGCCGCATGGAAACACTCCGAGCGCGTGCAGGAAGCCAGAGGTGATACTCATATATTCTGCCCACTCCTGTCCTTCCCATGGAGCGTGGAGTATGTCGTCTAGGGTGCCATCTCAGATCCGATTCCCGCGGGTGGTGGCCGTGACACATTACGCCTTGGCCGCCTTTGAGGCAGGCGGCGTGTGCCGTGGGTAGTGGGCATGGATGACCTTGTGCGCCTGTCCGACCGCGACCTTGTTCGACATCGCCTGCTCGAGCATTGTCCAGGCCTGCCTGGTGTCCATGTCCTCCGAGGTCTTGTCGGTCTTGCCAATGATCGGCTGGGGCCAGCCTTGCTCTGCGCGGCTGAGCTTGTCGGACGCGGTCTTCGCGGCCCCCGTGTGGTCCCCCTTCGTCTGCGTCTTGGTCGCGAGCTGGGTGCCCCCCTCCTCCTGCCGCCCTTGCGGGCTGTGAAGTGGTTCTCCAGGGTTCCCTTGAGCGATGCTGCCAGCCGCTCGCCCTGCCACCGCAAGCGGAACTCCTCGTCCTTGTCCTTCCTCTGCTGGAGGAAGGCCGCGTATTCGCTGTCGATCTCGGCGTGCTGCTCACGGGCCTGCTCGAGCTCCATTTTGCTGAGCTCCTGGGGTCCGCTGTCGCGGCGGGGCGAGGTAGGCCGCGGCGGAGAGTCGCGCCCACGTCCCCGAGGGTCTTGTCGCAGTGGCCCCAGCGAGCATCGCGGTCCCGCCGCCCGCGGTCGTCGCGATCCATGCGGCCATCGCGGCCGCGCATGTCGCCGCGGAGGCTGTAGTCGTCGTCGTCGTCGTCGGATCGACGCCCCTCACCGCGGCGTTCTCGCCGAGGCTGAGACGCGCCGCGGTCGCTGCCCATCCACCTGCCAGTCTGCTGCCGCGGCTTCCCACGGCCCGCCTCTGTCTCGTCTCAGACTGGAATGCGCGGGTCCAAAGTCTCCTGGCGGCCCGTAACTGTTGGGCCGAAACCGACCAAGGAAGGGCATGTGCCACAGAGATGATGAGGGGTGGTGGGTAGTGAAGCAAGTCTAGTTCGAGGGTAAGTTCCAACATTCACAGCGTTGATTTAACGGATGGTAGCTCGAGAAATTGGGCCTTGGCAAGCTCGCTGGTGAAGCGGGATTTGAGCCCTCCGAATTCCTGGGGCAACGTGCTTGTCCACGGTAGGATCTGCGTATTTGCTTGTGCTGCTCCTCCCCCCGCAGCCACGCGCGGCCTCCATGTGTCTGGTGCTCGTGTAGTGTCCATGCCGTGTGCCGTATCTGAGAGTGCCGTACTATGTGCCCTTGATGACGCCCTGTATGTATTCGTGCCCACAGTTTGTGCCATTGGTGTACGTGCTGCTGGGGTGTGGATACTGGTGCTGTTGAGCATGGCGGTGATGCTATTGTCGGTGATGCTGCAGCGGGTGCTGCCGTGGTAGTTGATGCTGTGTCAGATGCAGGGCTGGGGCGAATTGCGCGCCGGTGCGCGAGGTGCTCATGCAGGCATGTTCGACGACACCTGGCACTCATTGCAACAATGTCATCCACATTTGTTCTGGTGGCAATGCCGAGGGACAGCGATTGCGAAGATGTGTTACAAACTCTGTCAGCAAACCCGTTCGGTTCATTCTCCGCTTTGAGTTCGCAGAGGCCCACCATCGCCGGCAGTCCCAGGTCTGAAAGCGCACCTCCGATGGGGGGGCCGTCTAGCTGGTGGGCGACGCCTTCAATCACAACCAGAATCACGAAACAAAAACTAATCATGGCCCGCAGCGCATCATCGGTCGACACTTGGTACCAGGAAGGCGGTGGAAAGCCCTGCCGCTTTTTTGTGTGCTGCTGACGGCTGCGCTTGACCAGGCATGAGTCGACCCTCGGGCGTCGCTCTGCCCAGGCGGCCCCAGCGCGGGCTGCGGTGCACTGCTCGTGGATCTGGTCGGCGTCAACAGCCGCAAGACTGCGTTCCCCGAGCGGCGCATGGCATCGCGCACAAAAAGGGGAACATATGGGTGGGGGCTGCTGGCGCATGTCATGGATGGCCGCGCTCGAGGGGCACGGGTCGAAGATCTCCGTTGCCACTCTTGCGTGCTGGAGTAGGGCGCGTCTTCCTCGCCCGATGATTCTGTGCCCGTGTGTGCCAGTTGCCTTCTCGCAACTGACCGCGCGTCTGAAGCAGTTGTGCATCGGCGTGGCGCGTTTCCGTCGCCCGTCGTTGGCGCGCTTGGACTTGGCCGTCGGAAATGCGCGGGGTGGGGCGGTGGAGGATGAGGGGGGGAGGTCGTGGGGGAAGGCGACGGTGTAGTAGTCCTTCGGGTGGTCCACGACGGGCCCTGGCCCAGAGCCACGCATGTGCCGACTCTGGCGCGAGGTCGGCCCGCGCTCTCCGGGTCGGACTACATGCTGCATGCTCCAACAGGTAGCGTGCCGCAGCAGGCCCATCCGCGCGCCAGATGCGGTCGGGCTCTTTGCCATCGGCGATGTAGATACAACTGGTGCCGCTATCCAAGCCCTTTTTCACGATGGACTCCTGGTCGGCCCACTCCTCGGGGGGGGGCTCGGTGCAACTTGGCGGAGGGCCTCCGCGCTGTCGCGTAGACGTCGCATCCCACTTCGAAGGCTCGCTGGATGTATGTGGGCCTTGGAGCACCGCTCCAGCGGAGCCTGTCGGGGCTCCTGAATTAGCCGCCTCGGGCCCCCCCGCGCCGGTGGCCGCCAGGGTCCCGCGAGCCTGCCGAGACGAAGGGGGGGTCGCGGAGTCCCGGCGGGGGGGCCAGGCGGGTGACCCACAACATGCTTGGCGCAGAGACGGCTCGCCGAGATGTGGTCCCCCCATCGTGTTTGCGGTGCAAACCTGACGCGCACTCCTGCTCGGCAGGTGTCTCGAGCTGCGCGGAACTTCACCCCGCTCGTGGCCGCGTCCAAGCCTCCGCGGAGACAACGAGCACGGTCATGGCGTCGTAGGGGATGGGGAATTCGGACCGTGGGGGCCTGCGCCGCTGGATATCCCATGGCCTGGGCCGCGAGGTCGACGCGGCGACGGGCTGCCCGCTGTCGCATCGGTGAGTCCGGCCAAACACCCGCGACGGTCATGGCTCGGATAAGGATCCCAGCCAGTCGCGCGCGGTCACCTCCAGGTGGTAGCGGAGCGGTTTTGGCTGCCATGTGCGCCAGCAACGGGCCCACGCGCCGTGGCTCCATGATGTATTCTGTCCTGTGCGATGGTGCCATTCTTCATTTTCTCGGTGCCATACTGCGCATGGGGCGATCTCGCCTGGGGCGCTTGGGAGGAGGGCGTCCTCGACCGTGGGATCCTCCGTGTAATGCTGGAAGGCACGCCGCCGCAATTTGTCGCCCAGTCGCCGTCGAGGGGCCCGATGCCAGCGAGGAGGTCGGCGACGTGGCCGCCGCGGGGCCCAACTGGGGGCCGGGGCCCCAGGGCCCTTGCTGACGCTCGCCGCTTCAGCTCCCTGGCGTCCGCGACGTTGGCGGACGGCTGTCTCCGCGCCATCGCCTGCTTCTCGAAGTAGAACGCCGCCTCCTCAGTGTCCAGGGCCAGCGCGGGCAGGAAGAGCGAGGATCCTAAACGTAGTCTGAGTTACTGGTACCTGGGCCGGTAGCCAGGCCCGGCACGGGGTGAGGGGGGGCGCGGGCGTGCTCCGCGATTCTGCCGCGCACGCCTAGCAGCCCCTCTGAGCGGCGGAACACGGCCTTGCCAACGTGCGCATGGGCCTCAGTCGCCAGAGGGTGCACCGTAGCCGTGTACTCCGTCGGTAGCCCCACCGCCACGCCGAGAGCGAGCGATCGACATCATCGGATGGTTTCCATATTTTGAGGCGTCTGTCCACTCATGGGCGAGATATGGTAGGATCCGCCGTGCCCAAGTGGTGGCCGAGTCGAACCTCCGCGCGCCACGAATCGTTTAAGTTGAATCGCGCCTTTCGAACACCAAAATGGAAAGACATGATAGACCAAAGATGGTTGCCCTGGAGTGGGCGTCTGCCCAGTGGGGTCGGTGCCAGTGCGAAATCGATGTGGTGTGAAAGTAAAGTGCGTGCAATCACTACCGCGCGGCGGTGGTCGCGTCGGCCCCAGAGCGAGGCCAACGCATGGTCACGAATCTGGGTCTGCGGAACGCGATGCGCAGACGAACGAAGATCGGTCAAGAAGGCACCGGTCGAGCCCACCGTAGCAGGTTGCTCGGCACGAAGGGGGCCAGCAAGGCCGTGAGGTTTCGGCCGCGTCAGCTGGTCGCTGTGCAGACTCCCCTCGTCGCCGCTGGTGGTGCCCCCCCATCTCGACCGCCCTGAGCGCCAGGTTCCGCGCCTCTAACTGCAAATCCTGATCGTCCAGATGAAATCACTGCCGCATCCCTCTCAGGACCGTCATGTGGGCGTCCATCAAGTTGTGCCCCTCCTGACATGGCACACTCAGGTGGTCTCTCGCCACCTTGCCCGCGAACGAGAGGATGTGGTCGAGCGAGCTGCAACTGCGCATTCGATGATGAATCAACCTGCCCTTCGACGTCTCAAGCAGCTTCGGCTGGAGCGAAAACTTTGAATACCGAGGAACTCCACGAAATACGATGTGATTTGTACGGCGCGCCCGAGTCTGGGGATTCGGGCACCGGGTCCTGTGGTCACCGTCGCTCGAAGCCGGGACATCCGAAGACTCCTGTTCGCGCTGTATGCACGGTTTGGGCGAGTCGGGGGCCTCGAGCTTGGGCGCCCGTGGTGCAGGGGCACGGTGGAGTGGACGGAGAGGAGGAAGGACATGAAGTAACATGATCTTTGGGTGGGCCGAAAAGAGAGAGAGAGAGAGAGAGAGAGAGAGAGAGAGAGAGAGAGAGAGAGAGCGAGAGATAGAGAGAGAAAGAGAGAGAGAGAGAGAGAAAGAACACGAGATAATGATAGAGACAAAGGCAGTTATATAGCGAGAGAGAGAGAGAGAGAGAGAGAGAGAGAGACAAAACTAGAGAGAGGGAGAGAGAGAGCGAAAGAGATATACGCCGAGAGAAAGATATATATATATATAGAGAGAGAGAGAGAGAGAGAGAGAGAGAGGGATCACCAGAGAGAGGGGGGGGAGAGAAAGAGCGATAGAGAAGTAGAGAGATAAGGCCAGGCGGAGAGAGCGGCCTCGCCCGCCTAGCCTTAGACGGGCCCACGGGATGCTACGCATTGGTTGTTCGCTCTTTTGCTCGCTCGTCCTCGTCGTCCTCAATCCGTGATCCCCCCGCTCCGCTACCAACCCCGTTCCCCTCGTCCTCCACTCCCGTCCTCCTCTGTCCCTGTTCCTTCACCCTGTTCCACCTATCTGTTCCTTCTGCTCCCTCCCCGTCCCTCCCCCCTCGTTTTTTTCTCACCCTGCTCCGCCTTCTCCCCTGTCCTCCTCCAGCGCTCTTCCGATCAGGGAGAGGAGGGAAAGGAACGCATAACGAAGAGGTGGAGGAGGAGGAGGAGGACGACGATGACAGCGATGATTGGGGAGATTTGGAGGAGGACGAGGAGGCAAGGTGGGTGGGTGGGCTGGGGGAAGGGATAGAGGATGAGGGGGCGGTGGGAGAAGAGGTACGAAAAACACCAGGAGGGAGAGGAGGGCTCCGCCATCCCCTCTCCGTCATCCTTCTCCTCCCTGCCGTTCGCCGTCGTCGTCGTCGTCGTCGTCGTCGTCCTCGTCGTCGTCGTCGTCGTCGTCGTCGTCGTCGTCTCCACAGCCCCCTTCCTGCAGAGGGCAGGGCCAGCGCCGCCCGGCTGGGACGCCGCCGACAGCGTTAGCCACCCCCGCGCGGCCGCGCGGCCCCCCCTCCCGCGAGGCCTTTTTTTTGTTCCCAGGGCAGCCGGCTCCACAGAGATAGTTTGGATGCGGTGTCTTTGTTCACCTTCTCCCCCTTCCCGTACCCCTCCTCCCCGTTTTCCTCTTCCCTCTCCCACCTCCTCTTCCTTAACCCTTCCCCTCTGCCCACCCCTCTCCCTCATGCCTCCCCGTCCTGATCCTCCACTGCTCCCTATCCCCGTCGGCCCGTCCCTGGCCCCTCTTCTTTCCTTCCCTACTCCGTCCTCCTCATCCCACTCCGCCTCCCCCTCCCCCTCCCTATCCTCCCCCTCTCCCACATTTCAGCTCAAGCGTTCGCATGCCTGGCGCTCGGCCTGCTGCCCCCGCGATGGCTGCTGCGCGCTCGGCCAGAGGTGCTGTGGATCCCGCGTCGGCCGCCCTCCTCGTCGAGGTGGCTGGTGCGCGGGGCGGGTAGCGCGCCGAGGCGCACGGTCGCGGCGGTGGCGAGGTCCGCCGTGTCGGCGGCAGCGTTCGCCGTCTCGGCCCCGCCCCCGCCCGCCGCAGCGGCTGGCGACGAGGTGCAACTTGGTTCGTCCTGGCGGAGACGCGGACCCCGCGGTGCGGGCTGCGCGGCGGCGCCGCCGTCGCCAGCGCCGTGCGTCGCGACGTGCGACTGCCAAGATGGACCATCGACTCGAAGGCCGAGGAGGCGCCCGCCGCTGCAGGGGCGGTTGGCGGTGGCGCGGCCGCTGGGGATGCCCGCGCGGGCCTCGAGCTCGAGCCGGCGCCCGTGGCGTCTGCGGTCGAGGCCGACAACGGTGCGGGGCGCGGGGGTGGTTGCTGCGGCCGGTGCTGCTGCCGTGGGGGAGGCGGCGTCGGAGCTGCCCGACGACGAGAGGGCCGACGGCGGGGGGCCTGCCGCCCCGCCGTCGGCGGCCCCTGCTGCGGAGCCCGCTGCCGGGCGCTTGGGGCGCGAGCAGCTGGCTGAGCAGTACCCCGAGCACCCTGGCGCGAGGGCGTCCGACGAGGAGGTCGTGCCGCTGGTTCTCCTCAGGCTGCACGCTGCGGGGCCGCGCGACGACGAGGGGCCAGCGAGCGGGGCTGGCGCCGGCGCTGGTGCTGGGAGGGGGACGCAGCGGCAGGGTCGGCGATGATGCCGCTCCCCGCGGAGGGGAGCAGCCGCCTGCGAATTCGTTGTCCTCCTCTCCGTGTTCTTCCGACAGGCCTGGTTGCCTGTCCCTTCCGGGCGCTCGCGACTCGGTTGCGCCTCTTCGGCGCTGCTCCATTGCTCCTCCCCCTCTCCCTCCCCCTCCTCCTCCTCTCCTCTCCTCCTCCTCTCCTCTCCTCTCCTCTCCTGTCCTCTCCTCTCCTCTCCTTTCCCATCTCCTTCTTCTGTCCTTTCCCATCTCCTTCTCTCCCCCTCTCCCTTTCCCTCCTCCACTCCAGACCGTGTCCGGGATCCTCGAGGACAGAGCGCGGCCGCATGTGCAGGCCCATCCCATGGCAGAAGTCATCTGCACCACCACCCCTCCATACCGCGCCGCCATGTCCTTCGCCGCCGCTCTGACTTCGTTCCGGGCAGTGACCACCGCGTGGCCTACTGCTTCAGCGACCCAGCGTGCTCGAGTCCGGAGGGCGGCGGCTGCCTCGTGCCGTGCTTCGCGCCCCCGAAGTTGGCTACTAAGTCCGGTGCTGCTTTTTGAATTCGCCCATCACGGGAGATACGTTCTTCGGATTCCCGCTCTGGACGACCTGGCTCTTCCTGATCCATTTGCGCACGATCTTCCCGATCGTCCAGGTGATCTTCACGAGGAGCAACCAGTGTATGAGCTTCAGACGCCCCGTGCCGATCTTTGCGGTGTCCGCGATGATCTTCGTGCTCTGCGTGCCGAACTCCCACGCCCCCCCCCGCCGGGCAGGGTGACCCTCGTCCTCCTCGCGGCGTTCCTCGTGGAGCTGCGTGACATGTGGGTCGTCTCTCCACGCCCCCCCGCCGGCCAGGGTGACCCTGATCCTCCTCGCGGCGTTCCTCGTGGAGGCCTTCAGGATCACCGTGGTCGGCTGCTTGGAGCCCTGCGTGACATGGGGACCGTCTTCCATGCCGAAGCCCCGCCACCCGCCGAGCACGGAGGCCACCAGGACGGATTTGCAGCTTTCCCCCGTGTGCCAGACCATCACGGCCCTACCGACGGGTTTCCACCGGCTGCCACTGGAGCTGGCCATGGCCACTGGGCCATGTCATAGTTCATAGTGACCCTTCCTTTGAGTGCTCACCGACTGCGGTACCACTGGCGCCAGCCAACGGGGCCATCCGCCCCACGCAGCAGCCAGAGCACCTGCCAGGTCTCAGTGCGTCCCTCCAACTGGCCGCTGGACGACCGCCAACGGAGCCGCTCAGATCTGCCACTGGGCCAACTCTCCAGCCAGTCTCCGTGATGTCGCCCATGACGCAGTCCGTAGTGACTGTACGTGTGAGCGTCTGCCGACTCCCAGGGACATCAGCTACGTGGGCCAGCAGGCCCACGCTGGTCCGCCGACGGCCAGAGTGACCGCCGACGACCGACTGTCGACTGCCCGACTTCTGACGACGAAGATCGACGACCCTCATTCCGACCGTCCGCGGACCCCGAGGGGAATCAGCGGCCGTGGTTCACTGCGACCCTCCCGCCGAGTGTCCGAAAAAGAACCACTGGAACCGCTCAATGTTGCCACTAAGCCGTCGCTCCAGCCAGCCACCGTGATGCCGCTCATGACGCAGGCCTTAGCGACCCTCATTCTGAGAGACTGCCGACTTTCAGGAACACCAGCCAAAGAGGTCACCATGCCCACGTTGCAGCACCAACGCCTGCCTCACCACGGAAGCGGACGACGCCCATGGCCGACGCTTGTCCTGGCTTGACGCTTTCAACCACCGGTGGGGCCCGACATGCCACGACGAAGACGTTTTCGTCCGACCCTGCATTCCGACGCCGTCTGTCGACTGACCGACGGCTCGCTGCCTCTTGGGGGCACAGCCCCATGTTCCATGCTGCCTCTCGGCGCCGCTGCCATGAACGCCGTCTTCTGCTGCTGTCTTCCGTTGGCCTTTTCGGGTGCGCGCCACCCAGGTGCATTGCCCGCGCAGGGTTTGGACCAGTCTGTGCGGGATCTGGCTTGCATCGTCGTGTGAGGGCCCCTGGATACGCCCCGTGTGCAGGCTGCGGCCATGGGGCGGCGCACTGAGGTCTTCTCACCTGTTCCGCACTCGGCCCCCCGCGGGGGGTGCAAACCCCCTTGTGCGCCGAGGGGTGGCAGCGCCCCTGCACGTCCCCCTGTCCATTCCTGGCCCCTGGCTGGCGGTACCTCGTGATGCCGCGGGTGTGGGGCTGGGCGGCGCCAGGTGTTTGCACGGCCGCTGGTTCTCGGGTCCTGTCGCATTTGGGTTCACGCGGGAAGGCCCTTGCACCCCCCCGTTGGGTGGAGCAGTCTGCAGTTGTTTCCGCTCACTTTGCCGCACGCTGCGCGAACGCCTGGCGACCTGCTTCGCAGACCAGGTGCCCCAATGCGGCGCCTTCTCGCGTCAGGGCTCTGGCGCGCATGCCAGGGGGCGTTTAAAGCCAGTGCCCCTTTTTTGTGCGGGAGTGCAGAAAGGGGCGAGTGTCGCCCTCATCACCACATCCCGTTTCTGCTTTCCAGTGGGGGTGCTTCCGACCGGGCCAGGGGTGAGGCTAGCGCCACGCCTGCCACTCACACGCGGCACCTCCCTCCTGAAGTGGTGGGCGCAGCGGGCGCCAGCACCCCGTGCCCGGACGGACTTCGGCCCGCCGATTCGTTGCGATCTCCCTCCCCCTTTCCCTCTCCCTCCCCCTCCCCCCCCCCTGCCCTCTCCCCTCCTCCCCCTCCCCCCCCCTCCCCCTCCCCCTCCCCCTCCACCAGTCCCTGTCCTCCCCTCTCTTCCTCCGCCTCCCTGAGGAGGGAGGCCGAATCTGAACTATCATACTGGCTTCAGCCGCCCTGACTTTTTTTTCGACCCGGAGGGCTGCCGCCATGCAGCATGGCGACCGCCGGGCAGCCCCGACCAGAGGGGGGAGGGGAGGAGCGGAGGACGGACGACTTCGGGGGAAGAATGGAGGGGGGAGGCGTGGGTAGGGAGGGAGGAGGGGAGGAGGAACGATGAGGGACGGGTGGATTGATGGACGGAAGGAGGAGCAGGAGGGAGGAGGCATGGGGCAGGAAGCAGGAGGCAGGAGTCAGGAGGCAGGAGGCAGGAGGAGGGATGAAGGTAAGGAAGGAGGGGGCGGAGTAGAGGAGGAGGGGCGATGAGGTATGGGGAGGGATGCGGATGGAGGATATGGAAGGAGGTGGAGGGGGAGAAATGATGATTAACGAGGAACGAGGATGAGGAGGATAAGGATAAGGAGGAGGAGGAGGACGGAGGGACGGAGGTCCGATGAAGGATGGCGGAGGAAGATATTCAAAGCATGGACGATTCCCCAGACGGTGCCCGCACGCACAGGCTTTCTCCTTTTGGTCTCTCCGTGGCGGGCCGGGCGCCCCGACCTCTCGCCCGGTGCCCGCCGCCTCGCCGCCTCGCCGCCTCCCCGTGCGCTCGCTGGGCGTGCCAGCCTGGGCCTCCCATCAGTACTCCAGACTTCGTAATAAAAGGGAGGGGGTCTGGACCCTCCAAGACAAGCCATTTCAGACCTCCCCCGTGGGAGAACCCTCCAAAACTCCGTCCCCAGACCCCCCCAGGCCCTCCAAGATAGCCTGGAAGAGACCCCCCCCGAAATCAGACCCCCCTCCCTTTATTACGAAATCTGGAGTACCGTTTATCCGATCCCCATCTCCATCCCCATCCCCTTCGAGACACCCGCCAAATTACCGCCCCAGTTGGGGATACACCCCTCGAAGCCCGAGGGGAGCGGCCTGCATCCCCATCTGGGGGTGTAAATGGGCCAGTGGGGCCCAGGCCACGCCGCTGGGGATGGGGATCGGTTAAACGATACTCAGGCCCGAGCAGATTGCGAAGGCCTTACGGCCAGTGCCGCCGACCCTGAAGACGACGAAGATGGAAACGAGCACGGGCGGGCAGGAGGCGGAGGAGGAGGAAGAGCGGGAGGGGAAGAGGGAGGGTGGAGGAGGCGGATGAGGGTCCGAGCAGATTTGGTCGGAGGATCGCGCCGCATCGCCGATGCATCGACGATGCACCGCCAACGCATCGGCGATGCGGCGCGATCCTCCGACCCCGTCCCCTGGTCCAGGAGGCCTGCAGCCCGCTGCCGCCCTGTGGCCGATTCTTGCGCTGGCGGGGCGTGCCAGACTTTCGCTCGGTGCCCGCCCGTCGCCGCCTCGTCGCCGCCGGTTGCACACGGACTCAGTCCCTGACGCTTTGCTTGCGTGGTTCCGAAAGAGACCCCAGGGAGAGGGACTTTTGTCGAGACGGGCGATGCCGACTTATCAGGTCCGCTCGGCTTCGCCCACAGGGTCGCCGCACGACGCTCTCACTCGCACTTGTCGAAGTCTCAAGTGCCACGCCGCGGTCTCAGAAGCCCCTTCCACTGGCGTCCATTTGCGTATCCTCAGTAACACATCCAGAAACGATGCCCAGCCGAGTTGCCTTGCTTGACCAGAGAAGTGTAGGAGCAAGCAGCGGATCAAAGGGGGGGTGTCGGCCGTCGAACCGAAGCTCGGGCTCAAGCCGAGCAGACCCATGAGTTAACCAGAATGCCTTCGCGGAGCCTGTTTGCAGTTTGGGGTTCTTTTTGGGTCCTCGGGGCCATCTTGGGGCCCTCTCAGGGCCATTTTGGAGGCCATCGAGGACAGCAGTGGGTGGCGTCGATACGTTGGCTGCACTCGTCGACCCGAAGAATCACCCTCTTGCGTCCCTCTTGGAAAGCTCTTGGGGTGCTCTTGGGCCCTCTTGGGACTGCCTTGAAGTCCTACGGGGTTCCGCTTGGTCCATACTGAAGCCATCTTGAGGCCTCAAAAGCTAACGGTAATGCTCTACTCATTGACTTGCGTTTGGTTTTTGAAGGATGGTTGCCTCTCGGGGGCCTCCTTGGGAGGCCGGGGGCGTCCTTGGGAGGCTCGGTGGCCTCTTGGACCCATCTTGGGCTCTCTTGGAGGTATGTTGGAGGCTATATTGAGTCACCCCGCGCTATCTTGTGCCATCTTGGAGGCCGCCTTGGACTATCTTGGCCCTCTTGGAGTCATCTTGGCCATTTTGGACGCTCTAATCCCTCGCGCCCCCCCCTCCTCCAGATCCCGGAGGGGGGGTAGGGGGAGGGGTCAAGCTGCCCCAAGCCACAAACCCTGTCGTTCACTCCCACTCGACCTCCCACTACAGAAGTAGCACCCGAGTCTCAGCACAGGCAGGGGCCACCACTGACACCCATCCGGAACCAAGGTAGAAGCCAGCCAGGTGCGCGAAGCCCGCGAGGCCAGGTGCGCCACATGGGGCAATACGTCGACCGCTCCACCATCCCTGTCACAACCAATGCAAAGTAACGGCGGGCTTGCGAGCATTGTGCACTGTGTGTGTGTATATTGTGTGTGTGTGTGTGTGTGTGTGTGTGTGTGTGTGTGTGTTTGGGTGTGCATCCACAATCACTTTGCACTTGTCTTCCACAGGGGTGGTAGGCGTGCGAGCAGCAGGCAGCATGCCGCCTGCCCACCGTTCCTGGCAAACTCACTTTGCACGAATTGTCGGGTTGCAGCGGATTGTAGGCCTGCACGCAGCAGGCAATCTGCCGACTCCCCCGCCATCCCTGTCAGAAGCCAAGGCGAAGTGACCGCGGAGCGTCGGCGCATGATTCGGACTTCGGTGCAACATGCGTTCTGGGTTGTTTGTTGGAGTGGATTGCTCGCCGCAGGCAGCATGCCGGCCTCCTGGCGGAGCGTCCGCGCATGATCCAGATTGTTTTTTGCAAGGGATGGCCGGGGGTGTCGGCATTGCACACAGCAGGCAATATGCCTGCACCGCCGCCGTCCGTCCCTGTCAGAAGCCAAAGCAAAGTGATCGCGGGGCGTCCGCTCGCCGGTCGGGTGGGAGAGGGGGTGTATATAGCAAGGAAGGGCGATCAAGGTCCCAACTGGAACGCCGCAAGCTGTCTCGCTCGCCCCCACCCGCTCTCCCACTACTAAGTAGCACCCGAGTCCCAGCATAGGTAGGGGCCGCCATCGACAGCCATCGGGATTCAATGCAGACACCAGTCAGGAGGTGTGCCACGCGCACTAGATGCGCCAGGTGCTCCGTGGGCCCAAGCCTGCTAGGCGCGCCTGGTGCACCTGCTCCACGTGCGCGCAGTGAACCACGTGCTCCAGTCGCGCCAGGTGCGCCACTGGCGCGTCGCGCGCAGAGTGCGGAGTGCGCCAGGTGCGCCAGCGCACGTCACAGCACACATCGGTTTGTCTTTTCTAAGGAACTGGGCCTGTCTGTCGGTTTGGCGGCTATGTTGTGGCCGTCGCACCCCCGTCGCCTCGCGTCCTCGTCGTCGTCGTTGTCGTCGTCGTCGACGTTGTCGTCGTCGCCCTCCTCCTCCTCCTCCTCCTTCTTCGGTGCGCGGAGCAAGCAGTTCAGACGCCTCGGCGCTGCTCGCCGATGAAGCCACGCGAAACCCGACGGGATCAGCGTATGTCCTCACCCAGGTGGGTAAATCGGCCAGCGGGGCCAAGCCACACCAGTGGGGATGAGGTTCGGTCAAACGATGCTCATGTGCTGAGGATCTCCAGATGTGGACTCTGAAGGCCAATCTGCATGACGTCGTGAGGGCGCCAGGCTGCGCCGAGCTCAGGGCCAGCGTCTCTTCAGGCTGCAGCGTCGAAGAGGTACTCCGAGGGCAAGGGCTCGGCGTCCGCATTGCAGCGCCGCCGTCCTCGAACTGCCTCGTGTAGTCATCGCGGCTAGCGGCCGTCTTCGGCGGCGAGCCTGGGGGGGAAGCGAGAGCGTGGCAGGCCTTCCGAGTGGGCGGCGGCGCTTCCCAGAGGTCCTCGCGCCTTCCTAGCCGTCGTTGAGTGTACCTGCTGAGACAGCAGCCTGGGTCAGCATAGTGAGAACCCCAATGTGGAGGGAGCTCGAGCCAGCTCTTCCTGCATCCTGCGCGTGCTTGACACCTCCCCTGCTCTACATGTGCAGTTCCCTTCCCTATTCCTCCTCCCTGTAGGTTTGAGCGCGTGCCGTTCCTATATCAAATGAAGGCGCTTGAACGGAGAGACGGTGCATGAAAGGCCTGTGGCAGGCTGCACGGGGCGCGTCTTTGCGTATGCCGCTCCTGTAATGTACTGCTGCATCCTCCTGCTGCTCCCTGCCCATCCTGCCTCCTCCTCCTCCTCCTCCTCCTCCTCCTCCCTCCTCCTCCTCCTCCTCCTCCTCCTCCTCCTCCCCCCCCTCCTTCTGCCCTCCTCCTGCCTCCAACTCCTGCCCTCTCCTCCTCCTCCTTCTACTGCTCCTGCCTCCTCCTCCTCCTCCTCCTCCTCCTCCTCCTGCCTTCCTTTCCTTCTTCTCATCACCTCTCCTCGTGCTTCCTCCTCCCTTCCCTCCTCCTTCTCCCGCCTCCTCCTCCTCCTCCCGCCTCCTCCTCCTCCTTCTCCCGCCTCCTCCTCCTCCTCCCGCCTCTTCGTCGTCGTCCTCCTCCTCCTCCTCCTCGTCGTCGCCCTCCTCTCCCGTCCTGCCGTGCCGACTGCCACTTCGAGCCCCTCCTCGCCCCGGCGGCCGCCCACCCGCGCCCCCCCCCCCAGGGTGAGGGCTGGTTCAGCCAGCTCCTCGCCCCCGGCCCAGAGCCTTACCGCGGGCACGACGGCTACATGCTGGAGGCGGCGCCCCGCCCCCCACCCTCCCCTAGCTGAGGGGCCACGTGCGAGCCCTGCCCCTGCCCCCCCACGATCTCTGAGGGGGAGGGTGGGGTTCACTTCGCTCGGGAGCTCCCGAGCGAAGTGACCCCCCCACCCTCCCTCAGAAATCGTGGTGGGTAGGGGTTGGGTTCGCATGTGGGGCGGGGGAGGAGGGGTGCGAGTGCGCGGGGAGAGGGGCGGAGAGGATGAGACGGAGCTGGTGGAGGCTGTGGTGGAGGAGGAGCAGGCGTGGAGAAAAGGGGGGCGAGGCAGCTCCAGAAACGGGGAGGAGGAGGAGGAGGAGGAGGAGGAGGAGGAGGAGGAGGAGGAGGAGGAGGAGGAAGAGGAGGAGGAGGAGGAGGAGGAGGAGGTGGAGGAGGCGGGAAAATGAGGAGGAGGAGGACGCTCTGGAGGAAGAGAATCTGGCCTGGAGTACGCTCTGGAGACTATGGCCTCCAACCCTTTTCTTTAGAATGAGGTCCGAGCTCAGTTAGGTAGACCCTGCTCTTTGGCGATAATTTTGAAGACCAGCGCCTCCTCCTCCTCCTGCGGGAGATGCGGAGTGATTTTCTTTGGATAGTTGCCTGGGCCTCCATGTGGGCCCGACCTACTGTTGGCCCGCGTCCTGGGTCCACTCTGGTGGGAGACATCTTCAGTATTGCCTTCCTTGGAGCTTTGGGAGACATCGATGCTGATCTTGACGCTCTCGATCTGATTTGGCAGCCCACCCCAATTCCGTTGCGTTTCTCCACCGCCAGCGATTTGACAAGTCCTTCCGCAGACCAATCCTTTGGGGAAGATTCGACTGGTCCTCTTAGCTGTTGCGGCGGCGCAGCTAGAGAGCGCTGTCATCTCTGCCTCCGGGATTGTATACGAGTCTGCTTTGTGCCGAGGGCTCTTGGCCAACCCCGACTCAGACCAATATATTTGTTCCTGGTGGGGCGAAGGCTTGATTAAATGCAAGCGTGAGGTTGCCACTCGCCCTGTCTACTCCCTCCACGCGCCCAAATGGGCCATTGATCTTATGCATGCATGCCCCTGTTCGCAAGGCCCTGAGGGCCCAGCATTCGGGTTGATTTTGTCACACCCTTGCCTTGCCCCAACCTCATTAGCTGACATTTACCGAAACTGTGTTGGCTTCGGTCGCCGAAAAGGTGGTTCGGCCCGCCCGCCGCGCGCGCCCGTCCGCCGGCCGGCCTTCCCCACAGCAACGCGATCTTAGCCATAGCTTAACAACATAAGATCATACCAAACCATGGCTACAAGGAGTACCTCTCTCATATGTCGCTTGGATGTGAGCATGCAAGGAGGAGATCATCATGAACAACAACTCCACGCGTTGCCGTTTAATCGGGCTGTGAAGGCTCCCCTCCTGACGGATGACAGGCAAACTATTGGCTACCAGCCATAAGTTCTATCAATGACGAAAGCGATGCCACAAGATGGGGTCACTATGTTTCTCCCTTCAGTGGATGATGGACATACTACATATGACATATGTCACGGCTTGAGTATGAAGGTTCCCGGGGCTTTTTCTACCGACCATGTCGGGGGGCAAAACCAACTTCGTTATCCAAAAGTCAGCTGGAATATTTCCTATGGCGATGAACATTCGCCAGGCACCCCGAAGGCTACTGGCGACGAGGAGCCCGACTGGCACGGGCGCGGCGACCAGGTGCCGCTTCCAATCGCTGGACAACCTGACATTCCCTTTGACCTCTCGGACGGCGAGCAGGATGTGATATCTATGTCGTTCGGGGAGGACTTCTCCTGCAAATCGACGCCGAAACCGATTGCCTATGATGGCGTCCGTCTGCCGCAGGGAGGGGGGCGGAGGCCTCTGGCATCATTTCTCTTGTCCCGCTGGCCGATGACCCGCTTCCCAGGCAGGTGCCCCTCGCCGATGGCGAGGAGGCTGCGATTCCTTCCGATGACTCGCTAGAACGGGGTCTCGAGGAGATCGTGGAGGGCCCGCGGGCAGCCCAGTCAGAGCCACCTGCGAGCAAAGGCGCGATACTGTCAGCCTTTCAGTTGCGTCCCCGCACATTACGCGGGAGAGGTCTGACGGCATTTCCGAGGGCGGGCCCGTGCGCGCTCTGGTGGGAGGGCCCGGTGGCTATGCACTCGGGTCTTCCCCGCGTCCTGCTCGGCTTGGCTATCGACATTCGAACGCAATGCCTGCGGCGCCTGGCCCGTGGACCAGCTCTTCTCGTAAGGGGAGTTCGGAAAAAAGGGGTAGACCGAGAGCCCCGAGGCCGCGGTCGGGGGCGTCCGATTTATCAAATCTATCAGGTCGGTCCAGTGCATTCATCGTGCGCATCTGCGCGAAGTGTGCTTAGTTTAGGCCGCAATGTGCCGTGATTCCCGAGACTCGATGTCCTGGTGCGCTAGGCCAAAGTAAGAAGCCGGTCTGGCATGGGTGCTTCCATGTTTGTGGCCTCTGCAACCTGGACTTCCCATGCCCGACGCGCCGCGCCCCAGCGTCGCGCGACTGCGCAGGTTTGCGCGCGAATGAGCGGCGCGAGGCTGGGGAAAAGAAGAGGCCCGAGATCATGGAGGCCAGAGAAAGACACATGGCCGAGATGAGCGAGCAATTCGACAGTCAGAGGTGCAGCAACTGGCTGCCGCTGCTCTTCAGCTGGCGCGGGGCCGCGAGGCAATCGTGGGTGCCGTGGAACTTTTTGAGGGGCGCCGTCAGGCGGTGGCGGTCGAGCAGGCCTTGGCGACGACTGCAGAGATGCGGGGGCCTGCCGACAGGCTGGGGGCAATTGCTGCGTCCGAACGTCATGCGCGTTTCAGGGGGAACACGCTGCAGAAGAAGCCAGGCGCGTCGCCCCGGGGGCTGGGGGGGCCCAACGCGCGACTATGTCGCAGGCGGCCCAGGAGCTTTAGGCAGCAGAAGATCGGAATGCGCGCCTGGCTCAAGAGGCAGCTGCCGCCGTCGAGCAGTCCGGGGCAGATCGTGCCGCCGCTGGTGGGATCCATTCTCGCTCTGCTGCCGCAGTCCGACGCGCCCGGGAAGAAGCGCAGCTGATCGAGGCGCGCGGCGAGGAGAAAGTCATCGCCGACGCTCGAATGGCGGGGCCGAAGGTCGCGCAGGCGATGAAGGGCGGGGGGGCCGAACGGGGCAGGCTGCATCGCGAGCTCAATGAGATGTCCTCGGCGGCGTCGGCGGGGGCCGGGTCGACTGCGGATCCTAGGGCGCGGTCGCTGCGCGGGCCCCCCCGCTGCCGGCGCCGCCCGCGGGGGGGCCGGGTGCGCCGAGGCAAGGTGCGCGTCGCCCTTGCGCGGGCGCGCCGCGGTGCTTCGCGCGCCCCCGGGCGGCATCCCGCGACTGCAGTTCGTGCGACGCGGGCGTTTGCGACGGCCATTTTGCCCCGGAGGACGAGAGATGCACGCGCGCTGCTTTGACCGCGGGGCGACGCGGGGAGACGGCGCAGCGGAGAGCTGGCACGAGAGAGAAGAGGATGAGGAGCGTGAGGCGAGACAGAAGCTCGAGGAACGGATCGCCGCTGCCTCCGCATCAGGGGCTGGCCCATTTGACTGCCCGCCATTGCCTGCGTTTGCCGGCGGATGGTCCTCCGGCGGAGATGGGCGCGTGGCGGAGAGCGCTGAGTCAAAAGGGGCTGCTCGAGTTCGAACGGGCCGCCTTGGCCGAGAATGAGAGACGCGGGGAAATGCTCGAGCGAGCGGTGCAGCGGGAAGAGGGCCATGCCAGGGCCCGGGTTGAGCGCCAGGCGAAGATCCAGGGGGCGCGAGAACAACGAGCCGAGGCTGCCGCCGCGATGCAGCGGCAGGCCCAGGAAGGGGAGGGGCTGAGAACGAGGCTCAGCGGCAAGGGGATATCAAGGCCCACGCTGAGCCGGCGCGAGTTCGTTTTTGAACCTCTTTCCCGGGATGCGCGCCGCCGGGGCCAGGGGGCTTGTCCAGTCTCTCCCAGCGAAGGGAAAAAAGGATGAAGCGACTCCCCCGAAGAAGGCGCCAGCCTCGGAGCATCCAGGCGCGAGCCCTCCAGACGATGATGGCGGAGATAGTGGTGGCGATGATGAGGGCGATGGGAAATGTGGCCTTGATGACGAGTTATGCCCGACCCCCGATGAGGGAGGGGGCGACGATGCTGATCGCCGGCGTCGGCGCGGCGGAGGACCGCCTGATGGCGGCCCTCCCGGAGGCGGCGGAGACGGTGGAGCCCCCGTTCCCCTGGTGGACGAGGCCCCTGCCACCGCCCAGCGCTGACGTGATGCTGGTAAGACTGAGAATGCTGTCTTGGAAACGACCCCCGACGCATCCAACTGCAATCGATGGTGGCGCCGCGTGAAACAGTCGGGTGGATAGCGGGCGCGTGCGACGTTGAGGCAGACGAGTTGAATGACTCCGGCCACTTTGTCTGGCTTAACCGAATGATTGCAGCGGATCGCGTGGCTAATATCAACAAGGTAGTCAGGGATAGTGATTCCTCGTCGCAGCATCCACGCCCAGCGAGCGAGATTTAACGGTTAGACATCTACACGCAAGCCACCAGGAATATGATTAAGGGTCGAGATTCTGCGCGTCACTGCTGCCCGCGTGACCGCCCGCCAGGATCGCGGTCAAGTGTGCGCGTGCGCGGGCCTCGTGGAGACTAAGACGGCACGTGGCGGCCCATTCCATTTCTATGGCGAGTGAGTGAGAACGCCCAGCGAGATGACGGAATTTAGTGACTCCGTCCGCCCCGCTATACAGGAACATGTCTACCGGCAGATGCAGATGTGTCCTTGCGTGGAACGCGCGCTGGCGATCCATGATCATTGCAGCGACGAGTGTGGCGCAGGACTGAAGACTTACGAGTGTTTGCCATCGAAGGTCAGCGATTTCATGCACGAGGGGCGCGGGCCCGTCGACCGCGAGAAATAGCGGAGAACGCTGACTGCCCGCGGCCTTCCATGGGGGGCTCGGGCGTGCAGGCGAGGGTGGGCAGAAATTCTGCATGAAGGATGGTTGCC